TTTGCTGAAGATTGGATGGCTGTAGGTATGCAGGATTTTTTGAGACAGGGTCTCATTCTGTCACCAGGCCTGGAGTGCAGTGGAGCAATCATGGCTCCCTGCTAACTTCACCTCCCCAAGCTCAGGTGATCCTCCCACCCCAGTCCCCAGGGTAGCTGGGAACATGGGCACGCACCACCATGCCTGGGCTTTTTTTTTTTTTTTTTTTTTTTTTTAAGAGGCAAGGTCTCACCACGTTGCCCAGGCTGGCTTTCATTTTATCGAACTTCAAAGTAGCCTTAGCACTACTGGCATTTGGGACTGGATGAGTCTGTGTTTAGAAGCAGAATGGGGCTGTCCTCTGCCCTGTGCATTGTAAAACGTTTACCAACATCCCTTCTGACTTCTACACACTAGATGCCAGTAGCACCACTTCCAGTTGTGACAAGCAAAAATGTCTCCAAACACTGTCAAATGTCTCCTGAAGGTGTCTATGATTTAGATTGATATCACTCACCAAATTGCATGTTAAAATCTGATTCCCAATGATGGAGGTGGGGCCTGGTAGGAGGTGTTTGGATAGTAGCGGTAGATCCCTAAAAATGGCTTAGTGCCATTCTCGTGGAAGTGAATGAGTTTTCACTCATAGTTCCTAAGAGAACTAGTTGTTGAAAAGAGCCTGGCACCTCTTCCTCCCTCTGCTTCCTCTCTCACCATGTAATCTACAGACACTGGCTCCTCTTCACCTTCTACCATTTGTGGAAGCACACTGAGTCCCTTGTTAGAATTGTATAAAAAGCAAAAAAACTTTTTTTTAGAAGATACAAGCATCAAACACTTAAAATCATACTATTTTAATGTCTGAAGACATAACTGGTATAATTTTTTAAAAACATAAACATGCGAAATACATGCCACTTAAGTCTAACTCTCAACTATACTCTGTTGGAACTATGCTTTTTGTACAGCCTACAGAACCATGAGCCAAATAAACCTCTTTTCTTTATAAATTACCCAGTCTCAGGTATTCCTTCAAAGTAACAAAAATGAAGTAAGACATGATTGAATTGAGAAGGATACAAAAATCACTGCAGGCTGATAATTACTTTTTTTGAGATAAAGTTTTACTCTGTTGTCCAGGCTGGAGTGCAGCAGCATGATCACAGCTCACTGCAGCCTCAAACTTCTGGGCTCACGCAATCCTTCCACCTCAACCTCCCAAATATCTGGGGCTACAGGCACACGCACCGTACATAGCTTTTTTTTTTTTTTTTTTTTTTTTTTTAGTAAGAGGGTCTCACTATGTTGCCCAGACATGATTTGAACTCCTGGCCTCAACTAATTCTCCTGCCTTGGCCTCCCAAAGTGCTGGGATTACAGGCATGAGCCCCCATGCCTGGCCTTAACCACTTTAAATCATACAGTCTCAATTGGGGCAATATCCCTAAGGGGAAGAAAAGTGGTTCTTATGGAGAGTTGGAAATCTTAAATATTACAATGGTCTATAGCACTCCAAAGTTCAACCCTACTGATAACATAGTTATTATATACTGTATATCTGTAGCAGTAAAATATCTGAAGGGGAGAAGGCCCATTAGGCCATTAGGCAGAAAACAAGTCTAAAAATGCTCCTTAGGAGGGAATAATGAGAAAAATGGCTGAAGAACACTGCTTTAAGTTACGGATTATAAAATTAATTTCAATGTATCACTCTGAACTAGGGCAAATCCACAGATTTATTTTATGAAACCTAAACACCAAACCTATTCACCAGAACAATACAGTACACATAAATTCAGACAAACAAGTAACAGTTCAAATGCTACAAAGGATTAGTGTATTCAATTCATAATTTACTCTGGTTTCTTCAGCTAACATTCAACAACTGAAGGACAAGAGAGAGCAGTAATAGTATGGTACTCTCTCCCAACCCTCTTACTTTATTTTCTGGTAAGTAAATAGGGGTAGTAGCAAAAATAGCTGACAATTAACAGTCCTAACCCATTTTAATCCCTACAAAAGACTGAATCAACTTTAATTAAGGCTTTGTAATAACATCACAATACGATTAAAAATTTGGTATAAGGTAAGTGACAGAAATGCAACGGTTTATTGCAAACCAGGTGAGGCAGGGCTAGGGACACTTATGTCCAAGAATAGAGCTGGTACTCAACAAAGTGAAGAATCCGAAGTTCGTGGCTTTGTTTGTGTAATACAACCACCAAAACATACAAATCTATCCCAGATAGATTTATCTGTCCTCATGACATAGCGAAAACTACATATTCACTCTCATTGTGCCTGGGCCCAATCTTCTCCTCCTACAACTCCACTATTCACAGCCTATGACCCTCCTACATGGTGGCAGAGGAAGAGAACCACTTAGATCACTAAGGAAAACTGACAAAGTATAATCCATTTATGAACAATCAGAAGTAGCTGATTAATCACTTAAAATCAGATGCCTATTACTGATGCTTGTATAAATTTCTGATAATATAATTAATATCATATTCAATAGAAGAAAAGGAGTATGTCTTAATTTTTAACAATATTAAACATAGTCATTGGTCAGGTGCAGTGGCTGACACCTGTAAATACTCCCATAAAAAATATTTTAAAAATTGAGGAATGGATTGGCTCCAGTGATGGGTCTCAGATGGGCTAATTTTTATAGACACAGCATCTGAAAGAAATCTGTCGAGGTATCATATAGAGACACTTATCTGCACGCTCATTCTCCATTAATATAGAAGGGAGAACTGGCATTAGATTCTTTTCAATGAATAAAAGTAAACTCAAGATTTATAAAGAAAAGAGGAGAGAGAGGTTCCAACATGGCCGAATAGGAAAAGCTCCAGTCTGAAGCTCCCAGCATGAGCAACGCAGAAGACGGGTGATTTCTGCATTTCCAACTGAGGTACCAGGTTCATCTCACTGGGGCTTTGTCAGACAGAGGGTGCAGCCCACGGAGCAGGGCGGGGCATCACCTCACCCAGGAAGTGCAAGAGGTTGGGGAATTCCCTTTCCTAGGAAAGGGAAGCCATGAGAGATGGTACCTGGAAATTCAGGACACTCCCACCCTAATACTGGGCTTTTCCAATGGCCTTAGCAAATGGAACACCATGAGATTATATCCCACACCCACAGAGCCTCGCTCACTGCTAGCACAGCAATCTGAGATCAAACTGCAAGGCAACAGCAAGGCTGGGGTAGGGGCGCCCACCATTGCTGAGGCTTGAGTAGGTAAACAAAGCAGCCTGAGAGATCGAACTGCGTGGGGTCCACCGCAGCTCAAGGAGGCCTGCCTGCCTCTGTAGACTCCACCTCTGAGGCCTGCCTGCCTCTGTAGTCTCCACCTCTAGGGGCAGGGCATAGCTGAACAAAAGGCAGCAGAAACTTCTGCAGACTTGAACGTCCCTTTCTGACAGCTTTGAAGAGAGTAGTGGTTCTCCCAGCACAGAGCTTGAGATCTGAGAACGGATAGACTGCTTCCTCAAGTGGGTCTCTGACCCCCGAGTAGCCTAACTGGGAGACAACTCCCAGTAGGGGCCGAATGACACCTCATACAGCTGGGTGCCCCTCTGAGACAAAGCTTCCAGAGGAAGGATCAGGCAGCAACATTTGCCTTTCTGCAATATTTGCTGTTCTGCAGCCTTCACTGGTGATACCCAGGCAAACACAGTCTGGAGTGGACCTCCAGCAAACTCCAACAGATCTGCTGCTGAGGGTCCTGACTGTTAGAAGGAAAACTAACAAACAGAAAGCACATCCACATCAAAACCCCATCTGTACATCACCATCATCAAAGACCAAAGGTAGATAAAACCACAAAGATGGGAAGAAACCAGAGCAGAAAAGCTGAAAATTCTAAAAGCAGAGCACCTCTTCTCCTCCAAAGGAATGTAGCTCCTCGCCAGCAATGGAACAAAGCTGGAGGGAGAATGACTTTGACGAGTTGAGAGAAGGCGGTTTCACATGATCGGTAATAACAAACTTCTCCAAGCTAAAGGAGGATGTTCAAACCCATCACAAAGAAGTTAAAAACTTTGAAAAAAGACGAATGGCTAACTAGAATAAACAGTGTAGAGAAGTCCTTAAATGACCTGACAGAGCTGAAAACCATGACATGAGAAGTACGTGACACATGCACAAGCTTCAGTAGCTGATTTGATCAAGTGGAAGAAAGGGTATCAGTGATTGAAGATCAAATGAATGAAATGAAGCAAGAAGAGAAGTTTAGAGAAAAAAAGAAATGAACAAAGTCTCCAAGAAATATAGGACTATGTGAAAAGACCAAATTTACATCTGATTGGTGTACCTGAAAGTGACAGGGAGAACAGAACCAAGTTGAAAAACACTCTTCAGGATATCATCCAGGAGAACTTCCCCAACCTAGCGAGGCAGGCCAATATTCAAATTCAGGAAATACAGAGAACGCCACAAAGATACACCTTGAGAGGAGCAACTCCAAGACACATAATTGTCAGACTGACCAAAGTTGAAATAAAGGAAAAAATGTTAAGGGCAGCCAGAGAGAAAGATCAGGTTACCCACAAAGGGAAGCCCATCAGACTAACAGCAGATCTCACGGCAGAAACTCTACAAGCCAGAAGAGAGTAGGGGGCCAATATTCAACATTCTTAAAGAAAAGAATTTTCAACCCAGAATTTCATGTCCAGCCAAACTAAGATTCCTAAGTGAAGGAGAAATACAATCCTTTACAGACAAACAAATGCTGAGAGATTTTGTCACCACCAGGCCAGCCTTACAACAGCTCCTGAAGCAAGCAATAAATATGGAAAGAACAACTGGTACCAGCCACTGCAAAAACATGCCAAATTGTAAAGACTACCAATGCTAGGAAGAAACTCCATCAACTAACGAGCAAAATAACCAACTAACATCACAATGACAGGATCAAATTCACACATAACAATATTAACCTTAAATGTAAATGGGCTAAATGCTCCAATTAGAAGACACGGACTGGTAAATTGGATAAAGAGTCAAGACCCGGCCAGGCACGGTGGCTCGTGCCTGTAATCCCAGCACTTTGGGAGGCCGAGGCAGGCAGATCATGAGGTCAGGAGATCAAGACCATCCTGGCTAACACGGAGAAACCCCATCTCTACTAAAAATACAAAAAATTAGCCAGGAGTGGTGGCGGGCGCCTGTAGTCCCAGCTACTCAGGAGTCTGAGGCAGGAGAATGGCGTGAACCTGGGAGGTGGAGCTTGCAGTGAACCGAGATCGCACCACTGTACTCTAGCCTGGGCAACAGAGCAAGACTCTGTCT